GCTAAATCGTGGCTTGTGGATATGTCTCTTGGATTTGTTAGTGGTTGAAAATGAACATATCCACGTCTGATGTAGTAGAAGAGTCCTCAGAGTTGCAAAAATGTACTCGAAATGCATGGATGGAGCCTACCTGTCGCACTGCATCACGCGTGTCCTCACAGTAACTTTTTGACAGGGTGGCAGTGCGTAGGTCGGTTTCAATGACAGTCCAAAAAGGATTCACAATTGTCAAAATGTGATTGGTCAGTGCACGGGGGCAGACTTGTTGAAGTGAGCAGTGCTGGTGCTATCCTTTCCCTCCCTCCTTCCCTTGTCCTCTCCTCTTCTCAGCAGGCATGGTCAGTGGCGATCGTACGCCGTGGCTGTGGCCGTGGCGGTGGGTCCGGCCCCACGTGATGTCGCACTGTAGTAGTACGGTGAGCCTGAGAGAAACAGATGTCGTGAAACACACTTGCTTGTTCTCCATTTCAATTATACTGGACGCACCACGAAACTCAGCAACAGCAAAATGTCTCTCAGGATGACAATTTTCAAATTATTATTATCAATCCATTTTCTATAGTGCTTTTCTCAATCAACTCAACTCGACTGTAGAGTTTTAAAGATGGGCAGCGAGGGGTCATATGTAAGCTGGAGCCTAACCCAGAGAATAGGTGTAGGTATATGTACTTTGGACTGGTCGTCAGTCAATCACAGTGCTTGTGAGACCACCCTAGTTGTATTTAAAATGTTAGGGTTGTGATGCATCTAACTTTAGAATCAGGATTATGCTTTTACACTTTAAGGTGTTAGGATTCTGTTTGTGACCAACAGATGGCACTGTAGGGCTCTCCCTGCAGCTGCACACCTGTTGGTCATTATGTCATTAGTTGTTTAAAAGGACTCCTGGCATGACCACTCGGTGTTGGGTCATTGTTTCTTTGTTGCTGTCATGTATGTTTGTCATGTTTTTGGTCATGTTTCTGTTCTTGATAGTTTTTTGCTTCGGTCATGGTTTTTGTTTGCTACTTTGGATTTGTTTTGTTCTTAGGACGTTGTTTTGGATTTAGTTTTCTGTGTTTTATCAATACACTTCTTCAAGTATAACCTGCTCCTCCCTCCTGCCTGCTTTTTGGGGTCCTCCACCACCACGCAACATGACATAAGGTCGTGTTTGATTGGTGGATGGTTGTTTTTACAAAGTATGAAGTCACCGTTTTTAAAATTATGTTTTTGTAGAGTTTTTACGATACTTACTGTAATAAAAACCAAACTAAAAAAAAGCATTTTAGAAAACTAACTCCCTCATAAAAACTAACGAACCCGCTCTCAAAAAACAAACCAAAAAAACAAACTGAAACAACACCCCCCCACCCAAAAAAAAACCGATAACAATTCCCAAACTATTATAACCTTTACTCACACACAAACCATTGCACACACAAGTGACAGGCTAAGGTGACACTCAGAGTACAGCTCAACTACTGCTTCTGATCCCTTGAGTCTATTCACTCCATAGGAAAAAGGTCAACACACACACACACACACACACACACACACACACACACACACACACACTTGTCGATGTCGCATCCATCAATCTGGCTGGCTGCGTGCTGACAGGTTGTGTCCACAGTCCAGGTAATCTCAGGAGGCTCTTTGGGAAGTGAAGCATTAAGCCGGCCTGACAAACTATTTAGTCTCACTCATGACTTCAGGCTCCCTCGCGCGCCATTTATTTCGAACACAACTTTCTTTCGTTTGTCACCTTCACTCACATCCTGTGCCTCATTATGTGAGCCTAGTCCTTTTCCTTGTCATTTAGGCTATAAGCCCCTCGTGTGTCTGAACGTGTCCAAAGTGTACTTATAGGGGAAAAGTCAAGTAAAAATTATTTCTCTCCTTTTTTTCATTTTATTTTATTCATTTATTTATTTATTTTGAATGTTTTGCATCTACCTTGCATCTGTCCCGCCTGGCTGGTGAAGAGACTCGAGGAACAGCCGATTTCAGTACCTAAGAGGGATCCGTAATCTTGCTGAAACACTGAGGGCAGAGGAAGGGAGAGGGGTCAGTTCATGGAGCAGTCAGTAAGCACAGCCTGACCCCTGCCTTGATTGTTTCACGTTTAAACGGAAGCACCGAAATGGCTCTCTGCAATGAACTTGACAACGACGTCTCGGAGTAAAGATCTGTGGACTGTATTGGCGTTAAATATTATTGCAAATGGCATAATCATGCTTTGAAAGGGAGAATTGCACCGAAGTCCAAAGCGATCGTGACCATGGGAAGTCAACCACAATCTGTTCCAGGACACACTCAAATCTGTTCTGATGGAACTTTGATGTGAAATGACAAGAATCAACTATATATTTTTTCCCCTACATATAATTTCATGTCGAAACATACCTAATAAACTAGGGTTAGGAAATCTCCAGGATTCGTTGTATGTGGAATACTGAGGATGGGAATAGGGGCTTCCAGAGAAATCTCCTCCTGAATAGGGAAACCAAAAGCAGAAGCAGATCATGTCAAACAACAAGTTAAAATCTTCTTTAGTAGTTAAAAATAAAAATAACTAAATAAGGGAGTCGGATTGTATTGTTTGTTTACCTTTGGCATTAACACACTCTCAATGTCTTTCTCGGAAATGTTATGAATTGATCAGAACTCGCGAACACAGAAAATAGCATCGTTCTGCCATCATGCTTGCGTTACGCTTCACAAACTAAGTGCAGTATCTTTCCACTGTTAAAATGCTCGTACAGTCACCAAAAGACACAATGCATTCACAGAATCTTCAAACTCGAAAACCCTTTTGGAAATTTATTTTAAAATGTGAGTGTATCTCACAACACTTCAGATCAGTCAGCTTCGAAACCAAATCTGTGTCTGCGCTTTCTTTGGGTTTTTATGACACCATACACTTGTCAAAGTGGAAGTTGAGTTGCATGTTTTATTGTTTTTAAGCGGTATCGTGGTTCACTTGTTTTCACACTTGTGTTGCAGTTAAGAATGTCAAAGATTAGATGTGTGGGTTTATAATAGTTTGCGACTTCTCATTAGTTGGTTTTTTTTGTTTTGACCTTCATTTTTCAAATTAGGTTAGATCTGATTAGTTTTACGAACCTCTTGTTACATTTCCTTAGTTATTATTTTTATAATCCTTCAATTTAGTTTTTTATTAGTTTTAGTATGAGTTTGAGTTTTTTAAAAAAATACAAGTTATTTTAGTATTAGATTAGAAAAGAAAAACAGACAGATAGATGGGAAGACATAAAACCCCGAAAGTTTATGTGTGGAATTGACAGACAAAAACAAAGCACATTTTCATTCGATTTAGTTGGTTTCACTTAGTTTTGTAAATGTGTAATGTAGTTTGTTCTAGTAAAAAAACAACAACAACAACAAAACTCGTTTTTATTTAATTTATGAAAATATTTTGTCAATGTTAGTTTCATTTATTTCATTCGTTTTTGTTAAGTATAACCTTGGTGAGTTTCCTTTCATTGAGGAAGATACATCAACCATTAACTAATTTTTTAAAAGTCTGTCAAGCATTGAAAAAATTGCGACTATTGCGACATGAACTAATTTTTTAAAAGTCTGTCAAGCATTGAAAAATATTAAAATATTTGAAACCTTAAGGCAAGTGAACGGGAATGCGTAAAAAGGAAACAGAGAGGAAATCTGGCTCAGGGCTTCGGAGGCAACATGCAAGTTTTCTTTGCAGTACAGTTTGCAGTCTAGCTACGAGGGAGTGCAAACCGTGCAGCGGATGATAGTGTAGCTTTTCTCCCTCATTTACTACCTACTGTCTGGGATTTACTCATTCTCTTGTCTTCGCTTCACCCTTTCCCCTGTCTTTTTCTCCCCCTGCTCCTCCTCCTCCTCTTCCGACCTGCCTGCGTGGCTCCAGTTGGTCCATCACCCTTCACATCAAAACAACATTCTTCCCCCATTTCTTCTCCTCCTTTTCTCTCTCTCCTCACCCTGCTGCTGACCTGCTCTTCTTTTTTGTTCAATCTTTTCTACTCTTTCTTTCCTCTCTCCTGAACCCTCAACTTCTCCCGGGGGATCCCTCTCCCATCGCTGACAGTCACAGACCCTGGTGCACCCCCCCCACTCCCCCTGCACCTCCGACACCACCTCTATCCCTTCTCTCCCTCTCTCTCTGTCGGTTCTGCCTCAATGCTCTCCAACACCCCCTCTGAGTGTCAGCCCCCTGCTGCACTGAGGGAGAGGGAGGGAGAGAGAGAGAGAAAGAGAGAGAGAGAAAACAAGAGAGTTGCTTATTTAATGAAGGTATGGTATTAGACAGGGTGGACTCAAAAAAGGAGGGTAATTTAGGAGTGATAAAACACCGGCAAGGCATCGGAGCAAATTTTGCAAACGATCTCCATCTCAGCTCGGAATGATTGCATATTTCGACTTTGCCACAAAGTTCTCCTCCCCGCATTACCCACAAGTAGAAGTGTTGGTGTGTTTGTGTTTGTCTGCAACTGTCAGGTGGGGTCGGGATGCACTCTCCGTGGTATCCCCGGGTGCAAACATCCGCCCCTTGTCATCACCGTGGTGACGGCAACATGTCAGGTTGTTTAGGAGACAAGGGTGTGGGAGGTAAGGAGGAGAGATGAGGCTCGCGGGTCTCCCTGGTGTAGCGCGGTGTCAAGGTCGCACACGCGCTCTGTCAAAAACAAACCCACGCACACACAAACGGCACACAAGTGAAGACGCTCCCAAATATGCTGTCAAACCTGAGGACAGGATGGGGTGAGCGCATGGGGACAAGGCGACAGGGTTAGCCATCTTCAGATGTGCTGTTCCAACACGTCCACTGAGACTGCGCGAGTGTGTATATGACTGTGTCTGGGCACGTGTGTGTGTCAGAAACAAAATAATTGGGACTCGATCAAAACAAACACTTGGAAACAACATTATTTCAGCATTTTGGGTTTCATGCGCTGTTCCTCCTTTCCTCCCTGTCGGCCCCCGCTGAAAATGTGTGAGCGCGAGGCAGCGAGAAGGAGCAACGAGAGCAAGCGTAGCGGCCCAGGATTGAAACACAAAAGCGGCGAAGATGGCAGAGTGGAAGGGAATGAATGAATTAGTCGTGGGTCACTGGTGATTCTCATTAAAAACAAATTACTAATGTTGAGGAGGGACAGCTGTGCGACTGTGGCTGCTTTCTAATGATACACACACACATACACACACACAAGCATGCGCCACCCCACTGGGAGCACTGTCAGCCGTAGCATTGGCAGACAAAACAAGAGGAAACGGCAACACTAGATGAATATCCCGAAAACACCCGCACCCGCACGCATCCACTGGGATCCATCCTCCGAGATGTTTGGCAAAGTGATATGGTGTTAAGTCACAAATTGTGAATACCTGGTACCATGCCAGTGAGGGAGGGGGTGGAGTAGCTGCCCTGTCCCGTGGGGGGAACGTGAGGAGGGTAGCCTGGCAGGGTGGTGCTGGCGAGGTCTCGACCTGCAATGAGGCACACGTAGATGTCAATCAATGCCTGAATAAAATGATCAACAGTTCGAAAAGTGTCCAAATTTCCGATTGCCTGTATACTGTGACAGCGATATCACTTCATTAAGCCGCAGCGGACAACACACTTTGGTGTGGCACGTTGAGTAAGGAGAAATAAATGACAGTATGATAAACTTTCACTTGAAGTGTCTTATTACAGTGGACTTTATAATTTATATATATTATAACAAGTACCGTATTTTCCGCACTATAAAGCGCACCTAAAAGCATTCAATGTTCTCAAAAGCTGACAGTGCACCATATAATCCGATGCGCCTTGTATATGATCAATAGTCCGATTTCTTGGACGTAGTATTTTAAATGTTCTGTAAAGCGCTTTGTTAAAGCTGCAGCGGTTGTGAAAGCTCCGTATAAATAAAGCTGTATTGGATTGGATTGGATTCCCTTTAGCTTCGCTCCATCTAGTGGATGCAAAATGCAACTGCAGCCACAATTGTAGCTTCTATTCTATGCGACTTATAATGCGGTGCACCATATATGTGAAAACAGTTTTAAAATAGGTCATTCCTTGAAGGTGCGCCTAATACTCCGAAGCGCCTTATAGTGCGGAAAACACAGTAGTCTTGCGTTTCTCTTTATTCAATGTCTTTTGTCACACAGCGGTAACATGCCATCTGTATTCCTACTTGTATTCCACAAGATTTTACATTATTCTTTGTCTCCGAGTTAGTCGTTTGAGAAGGTGCTCCTGTCATTCAGACTCAGACATACAATAATTGAAATTTGGAATGTTGATTTTTAACTGTGGGCAACCTGGTCGTCAAATGGTTAGCGCGTCCGCCTCACAATGTACAGATGCAGTGTTCGGTTGCAGCTCTGGCCTTCCTGTGTGGAGTTTGCATGTTCTTCCGGTTCCTGTGTGGGTTTTCTCCGGGTACTCCGGTTTCCTCCCACATTCCAAAAACATTCATGGCAGGCTGATTGAACACCCTGAATTGTCTCTAGGTGTGAGTGTGAGCGCGGATGGTTGTTAGTCTCTGTGTGCCCTGCGATTGGCTGGCAATGAGTTCAGGGTGTCCCCCGCCTACTGCCCCAAGACAGCTGGGATAGGCTCCAGCACCCCCCGTGACCCTTGTGAGGATAAGCGCACCAGAAAATGGATGGATGGATGAATGGATTTTAACTGTTAGTTTTATTGACTTGATGTCTATTTAGTTTAGATTTTGGTGAGTGTTTCTGTTTCTGGCTGCCATAAACTTCACATCCTGGGGTGTGATTTGTGTTATTTGTACCTTTTGTGTCTGCTCATTGTTCTTCCCGTTTCACCTTTTTTTCCACCATTTGCATCCTTTCATTTACAAATTCACCCCATTCCCCAGAGCCAACGCCCTGACTGTCAGTAGCTGGACAGGCTATATAACCGCAATAGACCACATGACGACGTGTCGGCACGAATCATTTCTCTCTGATTGCATGTGCATCATGGTATGTGTGTGTGGAGTAGAGTGCCAGCGCTACCATTCGTCATCATCATCAACATCCTCATCATACACAAACGCACCTACACATGCATCAATACCCTGCTGCATACGCATTTATCATCATTATAAACAGCTCACATGCTAACACCATCAATCCCATTCACTTCTTCTTCACTTAACCACAACTAGCTGGGAAGAAGAGGATGAGGAGGGTGGAGACAGGAAGAAAGGAAGTTCTTTGGGAAAGGGGAAAACACAATAATTATCAGAGAGGGGGGCGGGCAGTTGCACTGAGCAATTGAACATTCTGTGTTGCCAATGTAGAAGTGTCCATTTGAGGGACCAAATCTTGAAAGTAGGTGACTTTTTTCATTCTTTCTTCCTACAACCGCAAAGGTAAACTCTGCCCTAAAGGCGGATATTTGTTTCATTAAAATCCAATACAACATCCCGTGACGTGAGCTGTTACAAAGATACAAAACTCACAGGATTAAGACAAGAGGAAGAGCAATGTCCGCCACAGATTTTTCATACCCATTTGTCTGTTATTAAGCAAAGATGAATGCAAAAACAATTGATATAGTTCACTGTAACCTCGCACTTTATTAACGCATGCCTGTTAATCACAAAACTCAGACACATTCAGGTGACAATTAAGTGTTGCTCTAAATTCGGCACGTTGAACCTTGGCAGCATTCTAAATTTTAATGAGTGCCATTCTGGTTTCACATCGAAATTGTCCCAGCCATTATATCACCAGGTCTTAACAAAAACAGAATAATGAGTGTTGAGGCCGAACTTTGAAAGTGAATTGAGAACTAATGAAGTTGTCAAAAAAAAAGAAGCAAATGAAATATGGACCATATATGCAATTCAGATACTGTCTATGCTAGCATTTCCTTCGGGGTCGATGGACTACCTTTCCCAACGTACATTTTTACTCTGCCTGATCCCTTTCTCCTCTGTCCCTCTCCACCTCATCTTTGCTGTCTTCGTGTAGTAAAGTTTTTCTCAGTGTTTGACGCGACGGCGAGGCATTAGCTCAGGCGGGCTGCTCATCCGATCAGGGTCAGTGCACAGGGCAAGAGGAGGGGGAGGAAGGAGAGAGGTTGAAACAGAGCCGAGATGGACCCACTGCATCCCAACTTAGAAGGGGCAGACAGGGCCAGATCCTCGGAGATGTGCGTCTACGCCTGTTCGTGTCTGTGTGCATATGTGCCAGCGCCGCTTGATGTATCTGTTGTCCACAGCTTTGCCGTAGAGGTCAACACAATGTGAACAAGTTTCCTCTGAGCTCATAAACTGAAGTCCCTAACACATGTGCTTTATATGGACAAAACGATTGAGACGCGCAACTCAAACTGACAATTTTCATGTTCCATATTTGCGGCAACACTCTAGTAAAAACCTGTTCTGCACCCAGTGCACAAGGCAAGGTCCATGAAGAGAGGCGGGCAGTAACACACTCTATTTAGTCTTTCATATTTACTCCAATAACCTTTTGGATACATTGCACTATAGTCAGATTAGTTTTCGTGCAATGTCCGTTTTACTTAAACCCTTTCAGGGACAACAGTTACTAGAGTGGACAGCTATTCAAATGTTATTTTCTCTCATATTAATTCGTCTTAATGTCACAATTGTGCATCAACCACTACAATGGACCCTTATGTGTGTTGCCATCCACTGCCATTATTTTTTTTTTCCTGCCAAAAGAATAATAAAAAAACAAAATCCGGATGTAGGTTATCACTATTTTTTTTTACATGAAAGAATTAACTTCAATATTTTCATTGAGAAGAAATAAAAATTTTCGGAGGTAGATATCATCAGTCCAGTCAAGTCCGTCAGTATTTCAGTTCCGGATGGGTCATCGGCAACAGCCAAACGGCATCGAGAACGAATTTACCACACGCAGCCAAATCAATCTATCCATCCGTCCGTCCATTTTCTGTAGCACTTATTCTGTTCAGGGTCACAGGTTTGCTATGGTCTGTCTCAGTTGAATTCAGGCAAATTGCAGTCTACACCCACGACTGGTCACCGCATGGCACAAATATAGACGGACAATCCGCACTGCTTGCGCTGAAGTCACCACCACTGATGGCAAACCATCAGATGTGTCTGTACCCAAGTACCAAGAGCCAAACAAAACCCCACTTGAGATTTGACAAGACATCAAAGACCACAAAATCAATTTACGAGTAGCAACACACGGGATGTGTCAACACCGCACCGAAGGCGCAGGCATCGCACCCCCTAGAGGCAGCTCTAGTCTGAGTCAAAAGACAGTCCGTGAATGTAATGCAAAATATTCCAAACACTTGTGTGTGCATATGAAATGTGCGCATGCACAAGCAGAAATGGAAATGTCTTTTTTCGCCGTCTCTGCTGCGGCAGGTATTATTCCTCTGTGGTTTCGGACGAGCCAAAAAGAAGCAATTCCCAGATATCCCAAATTCCCAGCTCTATGATTCCCCTCATTACCGATGGGAGCAGTGAAGCCTTGTCCGAGCGCTCCCTGGTCTACTCTTAATTAACAACTGCTTCTCCCAGTGTCCCTAAATGGAGACAAGCTTTTATACCGCTCCTCTATCTGTCCATCTTTCTTGCCATCATTTCCTTCAGGCATGTCTCTCTGGAGATCGAAGGCACTGAGCTCTTTATAGACCTGAAAACACTTTCAAAGTGTGGAGCCCACGGCGCTGCTCAAGTAGACTTTATAAGGATTACAGTATTTGGCGTATATGAATGACTTTATTTCTTCATCTAATACGTGGATTAAGCGGGTGCACTGGGGGTTGAAGCATCATTGAAAAACATTGCGGGGAAAGGTTTTTGTGCATATATACAGATTTAATAGTATTTGCACAACTAAATTGTCCTCCTGTCACACTAACATATTGAACATGCACAGGCGCGCACGCGCACACACGCACGCACGGGCGCGCGCGCACACACGCACACACACACACACACACACACACACACACACACACACACACACACACACACACACGCACATGTAGCACGTAGTGCATATGGAAGTGGACTATCTCGTAAATGGATTAGAGAGACTGAGGCCATTAGAATCAAGTCAACGCCGTGTTTATGTTACATCCATTGCGTTACCTCCTCAACAGCAACAATCTGCATGGTCCCATGCTTACCGTAAACCAAAGAATAATTAAATGCAAAAATTGAGATCCACATGTATCCAGTTTTCCACTGTACATTATTGCACATTTCTGAGTAATAGTCCTAAAAAAATGCTGAATTATCGTCAGGTTTAATGGGAATATGTTATGGCCCGGTGTGAAAAAACAATACACCGTAATGCAGAGGTTTACAATAAATATGGTACATCCGAATTGATTATTAAGAAAACAACAGATTAAAAACAAGCAATCATTAAACAAGAATCAAAAAGCATGAAAATGTGCCTGCCTGACAAACCACAAAAATTGCTTACAGGAATTTACTCTGGCAATTGGCACACTTATTGCCATCTCAGCCCTAAAATTAGGAAATGTAATTATGAAATAATGAACAGAAAATGTTTATTTATTTCATTTAATTTTTTTTTTTCCATCTATCATGTGTTTCTTGATCTCCCTTACCTGGAACTAGTGAATAAGACTGTGGGCCGGCCACGCTGGCTCCTAATTCTGCCCCGGTGCCGGAATTGGCCAAACTGTTCTTCATCTCGTCCAGTCCACTGGCTAGCGAGGCCATGGAGGAGTAGTCCGATGACTGGATAGAAACAGAAAGTGGAGGAGAAAGCTCAAAACATCATGACTTTATCTGATGACCAGACACGTATTAACGCAGCGTTTTGATCCTACTGCATGACTCTGCTTTTTCCTCAAGACTCGATTTATGTTCACACACAAACACACACACACGCACGCACGCGCGCACGTCAGAGAGTCTATTGATCGGTTTACAAAGACAAGGATTTACTCTCCAACCAAGTCCAACAGTTTATAATCACAGGATCAACTTGCTGTTTTTCTTCATCCATCTCTATTGCGCACACCTCCCCACACAGACGCCCCCCCACACACACACACACACACACACAGTACAGGAGTCCTGTCTACCACAGCTAACACAAAGCTCAAGTAAAGACATTTCTACAGGTCTATCGTGAAGAAGAGCGATCGATCATCACCTTTAGAATATCTCGTTTCATAGACACCAATCGATTGTTATCATCAACTGTTTATTAAGTCATACCTGCCACTGACAGCATCTGGCAAAATGCGGACACAATGACAGCCTATGGTCACGTTCCCCTTAACCTGACCCGTGCTTGACCCCACAGAACCAATTTATCATCAGCAACTGGTAATACGTTTGGACACAGGGGTCAGTATAGTCGGTCAAGTACAGGAAATAAAAAAAACTAGCCATTTGATATACGGTATGCATTAAATCTAATGCTTTAACACGTTGAAAATTTGAAGTAAAAAGTAATTTCATTCTGAAGCAGATGAAGTAAAAAGTAGTTTCATTCTCAAACAGGATGGGGTTTAAGTTCAAGATAAAAATAAGATGATAAGAATCCAGAATAAGAAAACCTTAATTCGTCTCACAATGGAGAAATTCCCAATTTACAGCAGCATAGTTATGAAAGGAAGTAAGTAAAAGAACAAAAGTATAGGAGCTGCTGTAAAGGCAGCCACTCTTGAAGTGATAATAACCTAATAACAAAATAATACACAACACGTAAGACACAGACAGTCATTCAATCTTAACCACTTTTTTGCATACTCTTGAAAAGAATATAATTGGTTTTGTTCTATTTTATTTTATATGAGTAATTGTATAATTGTTTTGAATTAATAAGCGGCATAAACGAGCATCACAGCTTATCCAATTATAACACCCTGCAAACGGGAGAGACACACGGTCAACAGGGCTGGAGTCCACGCAGGAAAACTACGCACGCAAAGTACGTTTATAAGGAACACGGCCAAGGGGTGGTTGTACAAATATATTAAAGACGATAATGATAATATTGTATTCAATTGATTGATTCCTACAATGATTCAGAGGGTTCAATGCGTGCAGTTATATTTCTGAATGAAATTCGATGACATCCATCACATTGTGTCAGGAGCACCAACTCTGTTGTCTGCCTGCAATTTGATGAAATACACTAAAATCACTTGCACCACAACTTAAACTTGTTTTTTTATTTTATTTTCAGCCACCAAATTGTCATGTGTGCTGGTGGTGTGTCAAAAAAAAAAAAAAAGGAGCGAGGTCCGGCACGGTCTACCAAATTCCCAAACATGCTCAAGTCAGCTTGCTCCGGCATGAGAATCAAAATGCACCAGGAAATAGAGCCTGTTATGTTGCTTATATACTATTTATGTCCTAAATCTAAAGATGAATTCATCAGTTAATGCTTTTTTTTTTTTTTGCATGAATTCCTCCTCTTGTACATGTAATTCATATTTATGTTGTTGTAAGCATTATTGGACCAAAAAAGACATTTTATTCACTATATATTCTTAAAAGTAAGCCTCAACAAATCCATATTGGTCAGGCCCAAATTATTAATATCGTAATTACGTCTATTGCATGTGACTGGGACTGTGACAACAACCCATTCCAGTTTGAGTGGAGAAGTATTATGTGTGTCTTTGTGTGTGTTTGCAGATTGCGGACACTAACGACAGCGATCAGAACTTCCTTTCGGTGATGAGGTGAGCGCTTTGCAGTGACCCTTTTAATATCTCTGAATTTGTTTGAGGGTACGAAATAAATGTGAGCGTGTGTTTGTGCTCAGTGACCTCTTAAACACCTCTGTGCTCGTCAGCACACAACACAACCACTGGACTGTGACCTGCCAAATAAGCGCTTACCACGTCCCCCACTTGCACGCACACACCTGCCCGCCCAGTCTCTCCTTCTTAAGACTTGACGCACGTTTTAAGCTTCCGCTCTTCATGACTCCCACCTCACCTCCACCCTGCATTCATACATCACACCTGTATATTGTCTCATTCCGGCAACTATCCTGAGTTACCCCTCCCTCCTTCATTTCTTGGCTGCCGTCAGTCTTATTATAATGGCGCCTAATGAGTCCATGTATCCATGTAGATGGGGGGGGGGGCAGAGGCAGCAGTGGAGAAAAAGGGGACTGCTGTGGTAATTGGCCATGATGAAGTTTGGCCAGCGGGGTGACAGGCCTGCTAAGGAAGATGGATCATTCTCATTCGCCCCCGTAAATGCTGTCAATTCTGCCGCTCATACGGCACCATCAGCCCGCATCAAAGAGGAGGGACGCAGCTGCGGAGGCGGCGCGGGGATTTGGGGGTTGAGGGTGTGGGTGGAGGGGGGCGCGGTTGCATGGGGCAAGATGGTGGGATGATAGAAAAACGGAGGCAGGCCGGATTTTGGGCGAGGGAGAGGAAGTTGGTGGATGTGACGTCAGTGACTAAAGTTTGAGATGATTGAACTGGCAATGACTTTCAGCACCTTGGAGAGAGATCTCATTTTTTTCAGCAGGCATGGCAAATAAGCAAATAATACAGTAACTCCTGCACAGTCAAGCAAAGTAGCTATCAAAAATCCTAGTTTTTTTTCTTTCAAGTTTGTCATAACATTCACACTCTCTGTGTGAACTAAAGGGGAAAATGCTTGAACTTGTAATGTAAAAAAATAAAATAAAATAGATAATAGAGGAGCCTCCCTTTCTTTAGCCTGCCTAACCCCGTTTTCTCAGGCCGAATCTTTGAGACAATTCTTGTTATAGATCGGAATAAGATTGAGTGTAATCTATCTCATGTGAGGGTGCAGCAACTTTTTCACACTGAGAGCTACTGTTCTGAGTTTGTTTTTGTTTAGGTTACATTTGGTTTTGTTCCCTCATGAGCCCTTTTTGTCTCCACCTGTTCTCGTCATCCGTGTCCCTTGTGTTTAACCAATCAGCTCGCTCAACCCTTTGTGTCTTGCCCAGGTGTTTGTCGTTGTCTCGTCACTTTGCTTGTATTTAGTTCCCTGGGTTCTGTCAGTCTTTGTCAGATCACTGTGTTGCTGTCATGTTGGGTTTTTTTCTGCCATAGGTTGTTTGTTACTTTGTTTTTCATGTGGTTTTCAAGACTTTGTTCATGTATTTGAGTTAGTTTTTCCAGTGTACTCCTGCAAGTGTTTTTTTGGTTCATGTGTTTTGTTCAGTCCACCCTGCTCCACACTTAATGTAAAGGGTGACCAGTTTGATACACATTCTGTGAAAATACCTTTACTAATACGTACGATATTCATAATTAATGATATTTGTTTATGTGGTGACACAAATCATGTTAATTTCTCACAATAATTAGGAAACCGATGAATATCAATGTGCAACACTTTATTTCTGTAAATCCCCTGCCAGTGTTTACATTTTGAAATGATCACTTCTCCAGCATTCATAGAAAACCAAAATGTTCAATCACTGGTAAACTCATTTTAGAACAGCCTACTCGTTTGGTCGTTGAGGGCTACCTGGTGCCGGTGGGCACCACTTGGGTCACCCCTGATCTGCTTGTGAGTGTGGAACGTTTACTATGAATGGTTGTAGGTTCAACATAAAAAAATTAAATCGCATCACAATGTTTCAAAACTGAATAAAGAGTGCGGGGTGGCAAACGCCGCTGACAGTCTAACGAAAAAAAATTCATCACAGCACTGTGACATGTTTGGTTATTTGCCATTTTGTCTCATCAGTGGCTGTTCAGCGATTGCTCTCTCCGGGTAGCGAGGTGATGCTTTGGTCCAGGTCAGATCTCACATCAATAAGTGATGAGCCTTAACCGACCCTCCACCACACACTCACACACACATGCACCTTGCCATGTTGCAGTAGGGCATTTGCATAATGGTATTTCCCCTTTTTCCCCATTCGCCAAATTACCCCGGCGCATTTCTCAATCTCTGTCTTTGTCGCTCCCTCTCTGCACATTCTTGTGTTCTGCTGATGGAAAAAGGCTTGACTGTAAACAAATACAATTCACACTGATGGCCTGAGAAAGGGAGTGTGAGGAAGGAAATCATCTGCGCTTAGATTGAGCACAGCAGGGCTGCATGGGAATGTGCATTTTGGCTCCATTCTGCAGAGGGACTGTAATAGTTGCGAGATTTTGATTTATATTACAGGGCACTTCATTAAGTACATATGCCGGATGAGATCTACAAGATTTTTATCCAAATACTTTTAGTTTTTTTACTATTTAAGGTGAATATTATTTAAATACTTAAATACTTTGTACCGCTCAATGTAATGAAATGAATCTGTACCGGATCTTTTTTTTTTTTTTTTTTAATATACAGTACTGATCTTGAATCGGAGAGGAAAATTTATTATTTAAATTAGTACATATGTTTGATATCTAACACCTCATGAATATATATTTTACTTTAATAGCTTCATGTTCATAAAAAAGTTTTTTTTTTTCCATTTTCACATTCTTGATAGAATTCTAGAATAATCTATTTAGAAAGTCATTAAAAAGACGCACTGCCATTTTGATGTTTTTGATTAATTACTCAAAATTTAAGCAACTGAAATGTGACACTCATTTTTTTCATCTTTCCAGATGGAAAGCATGAGAGAAAAGAAACAAAACGTTTTGTCGTTCCCTTTTTAGAAACGGGAACAGGCATTGGGACCCGGCGTGGTATGGATGGGTAGGAGGTGCCATGATCTGAGCTGATTTATCACCTGACTAATGGGAAGTGATTGAAGGGAAATTCAAATGAACTCTGTCTGACAAGCACACGTGCAGACACACCTTCCGCCTTGCACCCACAAATTAATTGTGCAGCTTAATAGACTACGGTGGGAGGGGAAAAAAAGGGCAGGAGAAAAAAAGATTCAGAAACGGAAGGATGAGTACATTTTGATGACAGGCAAAGAAAGATCTGCCGATGAGGGATGTGAGCAACTGATAACTATTAAAAGGAGAAAGTATAGTCGAGAGGTCACAAACATGAAGCCCCCAAGAACCACCTGAGTAGCTCAGGTGCCTGTTCTAAAAATAGCTCACCAGTGATGAGATATGGTGATTTTTCGAGTAATTTTCTCTAAGTGATCATTTGAAAATGGAAACACAGATTTGTAGAAATGAAGTATTGCATATTGATATTTACGGTTCCTGACTTGTTATATGAAAAGGATAAGTATATGCTTATTATTTTGAGAAAATAATGAGCAAAATAAGCGTCTTCACAAATATGAACCTCATTTGTCACAACTGCAGCTGTTGTGAAATGTTCTATAAATAATGTTGTGGTGTATTGTATTCATCATTAATAATTAACAAATGGGTAATTTAGACAAATTTGTCATCTCAGAAGTTTGTGTCAAACTGGCAGCTCACCATTGTAAGGTCACACTAAAATCCCAACCTCCTATTAAAATGAAGGGTAACTATACCCCATTTATATTCAACTATGCACAGATTCAAATTGGTCCCCACAAAGACAGAAAGAAACACACACACACAAACACACACTCAACATCAACAACAGGTCCGAAGTCTTCTTGGCATCTTTTAGCGAGGTCTGTCACAATACAACATGAACCTCCTTGACCACACGCGCACACACACGCACACACACGCACACACACACACACACACACACACACACACACACACACACACACACAAAAATCTCAAAGAGGCTGAGCTGTGGCTGTCAGTGTTAAGCATATGACTGTCAATCATCCCCTCTGGGAAATTCAGGCTGGGAAAATGTGAAGAGGGATGTGGGGGGGCATTTTAGTTGACTAGACCAGATGATGGAAGGGGGAGCGGAGGTAGAAGGACAGATCGGAATGTAAACTTCAATGTGTGTGCGCGCGTGCACTTGCACGTCTTTGTAATCACAATGCAGCTGCTAAAGCCAGTCTGACCCCGAGGCGACCCCGCATTTAACACCCCTGTCTGCCACCAGACCTCAGTGGCTTGACTTAGCTCACAGAGGACATTGACCTATGAATCATGGGTATTATACTCTTGACTTGAAGTCTATAGAGCTACTTCAGCCAATCCCTGTCGACCTCTCGCCCTGTGCCACTCCACTCCCCATGTTGGTCAAAACAAAATGAATGAGCTAAAAAGGCCAACTCTGCCCTAAAGGTCTAAGGCTGCAGCCGATCTGTGTTTCTACATGCCATGACTCTACCGGTGTGTTTGCTCTCTTGCCCTTGACACTGCTCAAATCAACAAACGTGAAAGAGACATGTATTTGAAGCTGGGCCAATAATAATTGTCATTTTGCGACTTTGGCAAACTTATTTCCTTAATATCAACCTAAGGAGCGCGCTTTAGAAGCATCTGACGGAATACAAATGCTAGCTTCTTGTTGTTTTGTTATTACACCTGTCCCTTCCACTCACATTTACATTATTGTACGGCCGGCAAAGGGCGTGAGGTCAATTTAAATGCAACGACACGATGCAGCAGGCGCACCGTTTTGTCTATGCTCCATGCTGAAGATTCCCGAGACGCATCAGTACAAAGGAAACTCACTGCCAAAAGTAACAGTCAGTAACTGAGAGCCAGCTAATTAACATCTTCAGTGGAATTACCTGAGCCAGCCAATAACTTTAAGGTGATGAGGGTATAGCTGGTTATGGCGGTTATTTCATTTGAAATTGAATGCTGAGGTCTATCAGGCAGTCTTGAAGATCATTGCCGTGCAAACGTTTTGTCTGACAGTCACGGAGGAACGACATCCAACCACATGGCAACTGATAAAAACTGTATTATGGTCTTAAAGAATTTCTGTTGGCCATGCATTGTCTCTATTCGATTAATTATTGAACTCCATTCATCCGAAGCCAAAGCTCCAATCAGATTTCAGCTTTGATGCCTTGACATGTGCATATTATTTGCCCAACGCCTTCAGAATCCCAAGTGCTGGTGTCAACCATCGACATATCGTTGAAATTGCTGTTTCTCTTTTCAAGCAATCAGAATTCAAGATGGGGATGATAATCGATGAATTTTTAAGAATTATGTTGTTTGTATCGGGGGGAAATGCATCAGAACATTCTCAGCACTATACAATTAGCAATATTAAAACATGAATGCATCCATTATTGGTTCCCATAGTTGACCAACCAGCCAAAAAATTGATCTGGCCCGTGCCTGACCTGCCCCCCAAACTCTGCACTGTGCCACGCCCTTACCTTGCCAGGGTCTGGGCTCGCATAGAGGTCAGAGCTGGATTGGATTGGACAGGATGGCTGTCTGTCAAACAGGCGGTCCAATACCTCGATCTGCTGCGGCGAGAACAGCTCCCCTCTCATCTGCTTCCTGAGGAAGTCCCGGCCGTTGTGGCTGTGCCCATTGGCCAGCGGCGACTCCTGCACGCCTAAAAGGGATGGAGGAAACGTCGATGTTGAGGAGCGCGGCAGACAGAGGCTATTCACAGGGAGGAATTCTAGACGGATATGAGTAGGGTGTTAGTGGTTCGAGTGTTGGATATCAGATTGGGAACCTTGAAGGAGGCGGGCAGCAGAGAGAGGTGGCAGATATAGTAAATCTCTGCAAAAGAATTAAATGAACCTCAGCGGGATGATTTAAAAAAGCGTAGATTGTGGAGACTGCAAGCCAATGCTATACAAATGCAAGCTATTACCGGGCATATGCTGTCTCTCCGTTTTGATCTCTCAGCAGCACGCCCTCTCTCTTCTCTCCATCATTCTGGTCGCATCAGCCATACACACCCCGACGCCAAAATATATATTGCCGCGGTATCAGTATTAGACAGTGAGCTCTCGTATCGTGCAGTTACCGCAAGGCTGAAGGACCGAACGAGACAATTATAAGAACTCTGAAAAGTCGAAGCCCGCAAATGATTAGAAAAGGGAGAACCAGAGAAATAGATAAAGAGAAAAAGGGGAAAGGTGGGGATGAGGGTGAAAATCCCCTCCGCTATAGAGCCAATTCATTGCTCCAAACTGCTCCTGAGAGCCTATTTTAGTCCTGCGGTCACTGTGTGTGAGTGTGTTTGTTCAGTGGGGAGATGACAGACAGGCAGTGAAGGGGGCTCAGGTACCGTCAAATATTTATTTCTTTGATTTAGATTGAAAATGCATTTGGGCAGCCTGATCTAGAAGAATAACAATTGAGTTTTGTGTTGTAAAAAAAAAAGAAAAAAAAAAAAAGAAAAGAAGAGTCAATGAGAGAAACATTTTCTGGCCGTCGTTTTCAATTGGTTATGCTAACCACACATTCATGACAGTGAATGCTAAAATATGTAAATATGGGAAATATTAGTGACATTACAGGATGTCTCCAAAGTCACGATACCCTCTATCATCAGCATTTGGCAGCTTTGTAGTTTTTGTATCATTGCCTCGCCCATATATGGCTCGCCGATTGAGATTAGAGCAGCATTGCAAAATTGCCGTCGGGCAACACGGCTCCAACGCTTGGTAGAATGTTCAAAAGCCTGCTTCTCCCACCGCTGATGAAAACACTAAACTCTCAGTGCAGGCGCTGTCACAAAGCCAGTCTTTCCAATCCCAATCCTGACTTCAAGTCTAAAGTACATATGAAACACGTAGGTCCAAATGAGTAAAAATGATTTACGCAAGTCGAAAGGCAATGTTTTAATTGCTGTTTGTCGGTTAGTGGGCTAGCCAGATTCTGCAAAAACAACATGAACAATCTCCGTGAAACGTTGAAGAGAAGTGACACATTTTAAAAACGTCACATTTTAGGATAAAGCTTCGTCTTTGCTTGCATCAGAGTGAAGCACATCATGATTGATTTCTTTGTTTTATTTATTTATTTATTTATTTATTTATTTATTTATTTATGTATTTATTTACGTAAAAGGAGTCAAACAGACATGCTTACTGGGTCTGCAGGTAACTGAGTGGCGTTCCTTTTGTGTTCAGCTTCTCGATTATCATGAATCTTTCCCAAATATGCTGAGTACCGTCGCCCTTGCTCTTATCATCATATTTCGAAACACGGTGGCTACACATGATTTGTTCTTCTATCCCAATGCCATGATAGAGACAAAATGCAGTGCACAGAGGCACAGTTGATTCAGCCTCGACCAGTTTTGCCGAAGAGCAACCGTATAGTTTTGAAGCCTTCAGAAGCCAACGCCAAACATTTTGATATTAACTGCGCGATGTCAAGGGTCAGTCTTGAAGTCGAACAGACACAACCCTGTGTCGGTATCATTCTTGGCGGCTCACCCTCAACATATAGTGCGCCTGGAAAAAAAAAAAAGAAGTTGCCATACCTTCAGTACACAAAACCTTTCATCTACTCCGACAAACACAGTCCTTGATCATAATCTCTCTTTCTCTGCTTCTCCCCATAACCCACACAAGCAAGTGCGCGCACACGGCTGCTGCCGTGCGGGTGTAAGGTCCGCGGGTCTCTGGTGGTGACAGACCAATCAGGCTGGAGATAAAGCCAGTATGATGCTTCAGCCTGGTAACCCACGGTGACCCATTTAATCCTGTCGGCCGGTCCCCATGATGGAATTAAATTGATCAATCATGTAGCTCTGATGGCACCATTTCAGCCATCTTATTGCTTTTTGCCATCTCTCCGTCACTCCCTCACACGGACACATACAAATAGACACTCTCAAAAGTCGGACCCAGGCTTGCCCAGATTGTGCAACCACAAAGCACCAGACAAAAGGGAGAGCTTGGAGAAACAACACAAACTACAAGTAAGAACGAAGCTTTTGTATTTATGATGATCAATATCGTCCATTCGTCTGGATGGAGTGTGTGTGTGTGTGTGTGTGTGTGTGTGTGTGTGTGTGTGTGTGTGTGTGTGTGTGTGTGTGTGCGTCGAAGTGTTTGTGTGACCGTGTGGCTGGATGGGCGGGTGTGGAGCCTGATATCCGGCTGGTTTCATTGTATCCATGGATGGGTAAAGAAACTCATTGCCGTGACGGGTTAAATCCTATTCACCGCTGGACACGCACACACGCATACACACACAGCTGCCTCTATCTCTGGGAGTCCGTCTCAGAAGGGAAGTGTTTCTCTTCCCTCTTCTTCAGAGCAGAACAAAACAAACAATGAGCCATTATTGTTCTCTCCTCTGCCTTTTTCCTCTCTCTTCCGCCTGCTTTCCCTCTCTTCCTCCCTCCATCGTCCTTTTGACCCGCTGTTGACATTTTTTTTAACATCCCATCAAAATAGAATACACGCAGGAAGAGAGGTCACCTGTTGGACTATTTCAGTATCGTGCGAGTGTATGTGCGCGTGTGTCCGTGCGTATGTGTTTGTGTTTGCAAGAAATGCACTTGACGAATATTTTACGCAAGAACAATTTCACTGCGCACCAACAAACAAAAATGTCCAGTATATGTCCCGGAATTTCTCAAGTATACTGTGCGTTAATCATCCAAAATCAAGAGAGCGTATTATACGCGAGTACATTAAAATTACAACACCTCGTCACATAGCAAAGACGTTTACCGGTACCTTGAAAATATGAAAAAGGTATGCTTTCCTTCCAATATGATGTGTAAAATCTAATGTTCAAATTTATTATCCTCAGTGTGACTCACAGAGCATTGCGGGTGCAGCCATATTGGTGATCATGTCATTTCATATCTGTTCCTACCGCGTCCGTTTGACGTAATGCGGCATCGGATTTTGCGTCTTACATTACTAGGCGTCAGAAATGCTCAGCAGTAAATTTGTAACATACTTTGCACAATCAGAACTCCTCATACCAGGTAAGAAGTTACTAGTAACTTCTTCCGGACACTGAAGTATCAGTGTTGTCAGCGTAACAGAGAAGTTAATACCAAACAAAATACAAATTACTATGTGGATAATAGTTCCGTTTTGGAGGATAGTTGCCATGTTACCGGCATGTCTTGAGACAGCTATTTCTTCTTATGTGTGAACTCTGACCTGAGTGCTGCAAAGAACACGGAAAAATCCACCAGAGAACAAAGTTTGGATGTGTGAGGGCTTCTATGCGTGCTGCTGAAGGATGAAATATTTGTTTTAAGTTTAATGAGTGTGACAACACCCACTCTAATTGTTTTTATTCTTCCACACCTTTGCAGACACCAGACTAAACAGCAGCAAGTTACCATCTTAAGCTTAAAGCAACCTGTGTAACATCTGGGCCTGTTTAGCTGAACAGAAAGCTGATACTTAAACGAATTGAAGAAAGACACAGAGTTCTTGAATGATTTTTGGGCCAGTTAAGTGAAACGGGGTAATTTTCCAAGACACACCTGATGATGGCACACATAGATTGCAAAAAAAAAAAATGCTGTGAATGTGACCTCACGGTGCTAGCCGGTGCATGTGAGTGTGTATGTCCTTTCTAAACTCCAGTGATCAAAGGTTGTTCTCTTTTTTTTTGGGGGGGGGGAGGGAGACTTGAGGAACTCTGGGTGAAGGGCAGAGACTCCCTCCCTCTTCTCCTCCATCCTCCCCTCTCGACTGCACCGCCTCATGCTCATTCCCAGCATCTTTTTATCCGGTAAGCTGTTGCGTGTCACAGTGGATGCACAGGGGGTTCAAAGGTCAATTTGGCATGCTGGTTTAATAATCCGAGTGAAATGATTTTGTTTAAAGTTTTGTTTTAAGCAACTGCCTGGATGTTGTTTTTTTCTCATATAGTTAAACAGTACCAAGTGTCCCAATAAAAACAACAACAGTAACAACACAACACATACACCTTGTAAGAAAATAGGTCAAGAAACAATAGTCCCCTTTAGGCCCCATAAGTCAAGTTCTTCCATTCAAACCCATTCATCTACATTCTGTCCCCCATCACCGAACTCCCCCTTCCCTAACCTTTACTTCCCCTTGCTTTGGTTGGAGGGCACAGGTCATCACAGGGCTTTACCCCCCCAACACACACAACTTTCTTTCTTGTGGCGGATGTGTGCAGAAGTAGCAGGTGCATATTAACTTTGAGAATACAAACAACAGAAAAATAACTTTCCTGAACACAAGTTTATCTCACTGTCAAATTCATGGGGGCCTGTGGACAAGAAGTTGAGCATCATAGCGATTTGGACTGACAATACCCACCTCTGTTCTTTAGCATTCTAAAGAAGGTGACAACCAGCGGTATTGCACCTAAAGTATTTGGCAACCACCCGAAGAAAATCAACATGATTAGGAAACGGGGAATTTGGGCTGCCAGTGCAAGCTTTCATTTTAATTTGAGTATAAGTTGCAGGACCAGCCAAACTTAAAAAAAAAAAAAGTGTGACTCATAAGCAGAGAAATACGTTAATTTATTTTTGCCGCTCCAAAAATGCAGTTGGTAAACAAGATTTTCAGCTAAATCCAGTCTTGCGCAAACGGCACTTTAATAAGATTTTTTTTTCTTAAGTATTGTTATTGTTGAGTAGCGGGTCTTCATTCATACACTATAAATTCAAATGTCTCCCTGGGCCAACATATGGGGGCAAGATGAAATAATTGTGTCCTGTTTGCGTTTGTCTATGTCTATCCATGTCGCTGCATGCTGTTCCTCCTGTCGCCCCTCGCTGTGCCTGTGTGTCATTATCCGGCGGGGGTTGCTCTAATGGAAGCTGTGATTAGCAATGCTGTTAATTAGACCACCGAGTCAAACTGGCAGACCTCCGCTGCAGCGGGGCTGGTGGCGCATGCACGATCGAGACGACGCAATGCAAGTTATGCTTTCTGGATGCTTCAGTGAAATTTGAATGAGAAAGTTCAGTCAAACAATCAGTGTGCTACACATAAAGAACAGTGTGGAACAATCACGCTCCTAATTAGATTACAGCACTCGTATTTGAGGCTCTGCCATCGTTGCGAGGGCACGCATAATAGTTCATCCATACAACATGACATTTATTATTCAAGTCAAAGAAATACAGTCTCCAACTAAAGGATCCCAATTATGGGTCATTTCCACTGCAGATATTTGGACTTGTCAGCTCAAAAATAGCACACACATTCACTGGTACCATAATGAGGATGGCTCTGCTCCCTGTAAATGATGTCTGTTTGACAGCATGCCAAACTGAAACAGTGTGAACACAGTATGATGATAATTAATGGACTGGGGGTGTTGGGGGGTATTTTTTTTTCTCCAAAACTCATTATTCATTAATCAAGTTAACTTGTTCAAGATCCAAGTGCTCACGAGGTGTTGAACCAATTAGTTGACTATTTGAGAAGTCGTCTTTACTACTCCACATCAGCATTTAAATTTTGAATTCAACTACCGGTAAACACTAATCACGTGTTTTTGGCATCTCGTTTTTCGACTTGCGCTCATCTGCTGTTTTAACCGGACTATAATGCTTAGCAGCGAAACGTCAGATCAACAAGGATACACCGTTTTCATACACTTGCGCAGGTCAGAAAGAATAGAAATAAGGTGGCTGTGCATGAGAAACGTTGTTAGCCTTGCTAGCTTGGGCTATTGCGATCGCAGCCAATCAGTCACTTCTAAAACAAGTCTGTCCTCAAGTATAATAAAAGCTTAAGTGAAATAGAAATCGCAACATTTGGGGGACGGGGGGGGCGAGGGGTGGCTGCAGTATGGTTATGATGATGTCCTGTCAGACAACACACGTCACATCACACATGAGACAAGCCAGTGCGTCGAAGAGTCAAACATGCACAGGGCTCCGGCTAATTCCAGCAACTACATCAGGGATAATGGTGGGTTGAATTTTGAATTGCTTGTCCGTTCTGTCAAATGTGTCTTGAAGGTTCAATTAAATAGCTTAGCTTCGACCTCTGACTTGCTGCATGTATATGACGTAAGCGTGTTGTGCTACTTGTACGTCCGTTTGCAATTTTCTTTTCAGTTTGTCTACATGAGGCACAAAATGCAAATTTTGACTTATTTCAAGCCATGGTCCTTATGTGAGACCAGTCCTTGACACAAAAATGGTTGAGGACCGCATGATTAGGTTCTTAGCTGTGTGTGGTCCGGTGTCTTTTCGCTGATGCGTAACAAGCTTGTAACCTCACCTGGCTCTTTTCTTGTTGTCTGCTGAAATGTTTTACAAATGGACACTACATTAGGTACATCTGCACAGTCTAACAAGGTCTAATACATCCCTCCATCCATTATCTGATCCGCTTATCCTCACAAAGTTCACAAGGGTGCTGGAGTCTATCCCGGTTGTCTTCAGGCAGTAGGCAGGGTACATCCTGAAGTGGTTGCCAGCCAATCGCAGGGCACACAGAGACGAACAACCTTTTGTGCTCACACTCACACCTCGGGAGAATTTAGAGTGTTCCATTAACCTGCCATGCATGTTTTTGGAATGTGGGAGGAAACCAGAGTACCCAGAGAAAACCCACACATGCATGGGGAGAACATGGAAAATCCATACAGGAAGGCCGGAGGCGGAATCAAACCCTGCACCTCTGCGGTATGAGGCGGACGTGATCACCAGTCCAACACCGTGCCACCATAGGTCGAAAACATGAGCTGTAAAATCTGCCTTTAAAATGTTAATAACGTTTGAATGACACAGACAGATATGGTAAATATGCTGATTATTGTAGCTGCATTTGGCAGTGATGTAACTGCACTACTTCACGTGGAGGTGTGTTTTAGTTACCCTACGAAGGTACTGTACATCAAAGAAACAAAATCAAAATAAAATGATTCTGAAATTGATACCTAACTGACAGTGGAAATCGAAATTATTTCTCCAAAGGCTGAATTTTAGATACAACCGTAGTTCTGAACCTCATTACATTATGCAAGTGTACCTAATATTTCACCAGTGTGTGGTGTGTGTGGGCGTGGAGGAGAACCTCATTACACCAGTATTTCACCAGTGTGTGGTGTGTGTGGGCGTGGAGGGGGGGGTTATGGGGGGTTGGTTTGGATGGCAACCCCCAGTGGTTTTCGCCAACCCTCGAAACCCCCTGTTCAGACATCTGGTCCTGTCTCATTTACCGTAGGAGTCTTTCTGTGTGATGACTTTTTAATGCCTCTGACAGAACCACAGACACACATACTCATTAACATACAGTAATATTTACAGTGTGTGAACACCTTCACACAGGCTCCCACCACCATTGACAGACATACAACATTGATCAACAGTGAAAACGATTGGGATCGATAGCGTATGAATAAACTTCCTGTTAAATGGCTTTCCAGCAGGGTTTGTGAATGAAGATATTTGGTGTTGTGTTCAGGTGTTTCATGTGCACACACATCTGTCATTGATCGTCATGTGCACGGCTATTCCCAACTGGGATTTCCATACTGGAAAGGAAATGAGGACGATCCTGAGGCTATCTGTAATGGGTTTATGTTTGTTGTTCACTTGTGAAAATAAATGTGTGAGGAGAATAAGTAAGTATAAAATGAACACAAAGGAGGGGAGTAAACATATAAACTTACATGCAAAGACATTCTCTCTTCAACCCACCTTCATCTCTCTTCCTTTTCCCAACATCAGCAGCTGAGCTGATACCCAGAATGCCGCTGATGGAGTACGAAGAGCCGGCAGAGTCGCTGGTCACCGCAGAGACCTGTGTCGCGGCCACTGATGTGGCTGAAGGCAAAGAAAGTTGCATTTGTTAGCAGTCTGTCATTCTGAGATCTAAGATAAATGTGTTGTCTTAATTGTGCAGAGATGTCATGAAATAGTTTGAAGTCCTTGTTTAGTGAAAGTCTCACAGACCTCTGGCACTGTGGGTGTGTCTTTCAACTGTCACTCAAATTTGTTTATACAGACGGTGGCTGGGACACATCCTTTTAAATTAAAGCGGCAAAAGTACATATTATATTAAATACCCTTAAAGCCTCCAATGGCTGGAATATATTCCATGGTGTCGTTGTGGGGCTTTTCCTTGCTGCGATGAGAGGCAATAGCCACCTGCTAGCTACCGGGCTAACAGCTTTTGGATCATCCAATATGTCACCGGCTCGCTTTTTGTTGTGTGTGGGTCTACATAAAGTTCTTATAAACGTAATTTGACCTCCTGTATGAGCTCCAGCAAATCAGTTTCTCTATTCGGCATGCGAAGCAAGAACTGTGTCTCACTATGTAATTCTCTTTGTTTTATGTTTCGTTTGACAGTAAACTTCAAATGAGAATTGAATGTCAAATTGTTGCTCACAACGCATATCGCTGAAAACTCTCGTAATGGTGTTACTCGTATCTCAAAGAACGACTATAATCTCATGTTTTCCATTCCTTGTCAACATCTGTGACTTGTGACAAGACACTGTTTTAATCTTATGCCTCTGTCTCCAAACACACTTTGCCTAGTGAACATGGCCATGAAGACTAACCAGAAACAAGAAAAAGGCTCAGTGGGGGATGGGACCGTCAGTATTTGTCTCTTCCTTTAGTCTCACCCACCCTCGGGGACCCTGAGGGGGGACGAGTTCTTCGTCAGGCAACACAGCAAAAACATACTTGTCATTGCTTTAGACACACACACACATTAACAACATACAGTCACTCATGCCTGGTCTCCTTATCTGTGCCCTTATAAGCAAGCGAGGGGCTGAGTGACAGTCTGGTATCCCATGAGGGACATAAAGGTGAGAAGGAAGACATCCTAATCCTCCCTCCCAGCAGACCCCCCCCCCCCCATTTCCCTTCCCCAACAACACGGAAGAACAAGAACTAGAAGAGGAAGTTTTAAAACACACACACACACGCACACACACAACAATCCCCGAGGATCTAGACGCCCCCCTCCTCCCTCCACTCTGTTACACCTTCGCCAACAACGGGAAGATGATAATGAATGCATATCCTACCTTTTCCTATCAGTTGATTTAGCACTTCAATTATCTGATTTTGCTTCCTTTTCATCTCCACTGTTTTTTTTTTATCTGAATGTAATGCTTTTATTCTGCAAATCCAAATGTTCAATTTTCTGCCTGGGAGTGGGACCCATTTATCTGGATAATCTGCGAGCGTGTGAGCAAGTGTGTATCAGCGTGTGTGTGTGTGTGTGTGTGTGTGTGTGTGTGTGTGTGTGTGTGTGTGTGTGTGTGTAAGAGGAAGAGCCGGGAAGCCATGTATCTGAAATTAATTTAGATTAATAGATGATGTGTGATTATGAAGATATGAGAGACACCAAAACACAATCCGGTGCTTGAAAGTGCGAAAGTGATGAGGGGGGGCAAAGAAAGGCTCTCATATTTATTTGACATGGTAAAGTGATATTACTATTTAATTTTCATCATGATTCAACTTTTATGCGGTATAAAGACAACAATTGAAAAACAAGTATCACAGGTAATGTTACCGGTACTTTAATTTCTCAAAAATCAAAGATTAGACCAAAGATTCAATCTTGAATCATTCGATGTCCTAATGACCGAATTTTATTTGGCTGCATCCATCTGAGTGTACGTCAATGGAACTCGCTAAAATACTGTATAGATTAGAGATGCAACAATGAATCGATTAATTGACAACTAATCAATTATCATATTAATCAACAAATGAGACCTTGTTCACACTAAGATAGTCCAAATCCTCAGTGAAAAAGGCCGTTGTGATGTTGCGCGTTCTGTTGATTACACATTTGTGCCATGTAATGGCAACCATTATGCAACCGAAACACTCATTAAAATAGAAAGTTATGCATTAAAGGGTTTCGCTTGAATGCAAGATTATCCTGAGTTTTAAAGTTCATATCAGTGCTGCTGTAAAATGTGCTTCGACAAGCGAGTCAGGTGCCTACCTAAGTTGTGAGCCGCTACCGAGCCCGTTTGGCCCGGTGGCTGCTGAACCTTGGTCCGAATGATCCTGCAGGAGAGAGCAGACATTCATGTGTGAGAAGTGGTCATTTCTTGTGTGCGCGAAAGAAAGAGGGATGCATCAAGGACATGAGAACAAGATCGTCGTGGGAGCCACGCTGTGTGTAAGCATGCAAGTGTGCGTGCGTGCGTGCGCGGAGAGGCTTGCGGCCGGCCGACATGGCAGAGGGGCCTCACACTTCCTGCTTGGCTGCTCATGCAAGTCCCTTTCTTCCTCTTTCCTCGCCTTTCTTTTCCTTTCCTCCCTAACTCCTCTCCATCCTGTCCCCGTCTTCCCTTCCCTCCCGTTCCCTTTCTCCCCTTCTTCTTTTGTGTCCAGTATTCCCCTTATTCCTCCCTTTTGTCTGCACTGCTTCTCTCTCCTATTTCACTGTCCCTCCCTCTTCGGTGGCACCGTTCATGCTCAAGAGAGGGCCTTGTCATTGTATCATCGCGTTGAACCACTGAGCTGCAGCCACTTCATACATATGGAGAGGCCTGGGGGCTCTTAACTAGGCTTACCGTCGTCCCAGAAATATATCGACACAGCACACTGCCTGACACTCATTGCTATACTGTCATTGGCACGAGAGTTACTACCTGCCAATGTAAAGTTGGTACATGCAAACACTTATCAGAACATTGGTACCTGTTGATGGAGCTGACGCTGGGCACGCTGTCATTGTCGCACACTCTCTCGGCCAGGAGCCTGTCCCGGATCTCCCAGGCAAACATGGTGGGGTTTTGGCGTTTGTAATCGGCAATCTTGTCAACCACTTTGGGTGTAGCAACCTTTGGTTTGGATCCTCCGATGACACCTGGCCGAATGCTGCCTGTTTCGTAGTACCTGTTAAAGCGCAGAGGACGCTTGTGTTGGTCATGATGCCACTCTGTTCAATAACAGTGGTCAACAGAGAGTTTTTATCAGAGATAGCTTTATGTTTCCTAAAATGTACTTTTGAAATTTTTTTCTGACCATATGAATCTTTTTTTTGTTTGTTTTTAAGTTTGAACTATAATACCTCGTTCGATTTTACCATGTGCTGTAATTGAGATATGAAATAAATTCCACCGACTGTTTAAAGTAACATTTAATTCATAAGTATTTTTGCCTATATTAATATACATTATGACTTATTACAATCCATCCATCCATTTTCGAGTCCGCATATCCTCACTTGGGTTGAATGTGGGTTGGAGCCTATCCCAGCTGTCTCCGGGCAGTAGGTGGGATACACCCTGAACTGGTTGCCAGCCAATCGCAGGGCACACAGAGACGAACAACCATTCGGGCTCACGATCACACCTAGGGTTAATTTAGAGTGTTCCATCAACCTGCCATGCATGTTTTTGGAATGCGGGAGGAAACCAGAGTACCCAGAGAAAACCCACACAGGCAGAGCCGGAATCGAACCCTGCACCTCCGCACTGTGACGTCGACGTGCTAACCTGTCAACCCCCGTGCCGCTCAACAGAATTATGTGACCGTAATTTATATCCATTTTGCTTGCATTCTGTGGATAGTTGCGATGACCTCGATCAAAATGACTACAGTGACAATAACTGTAATGCACTTAAATGCATTTTAAAAAAATGGTGTGAATATCCTCACTTTTCGTCAAATGGTTGCCACCGAGATTTTGGCTAAAATTGTAAACAGAGACCATAGATGGCTTAACTATGTTGTCCTGAGCAGCGTAGGTGGAGATTTTTCTCGAGAAGGACAAGTTGCATATGTTATTTGCATTAGATGCCATGCCTACTCTGGACTACATTATTGAGCATAGGTTTGGTTACATCGAAAATGAAGCGTTGCCTCTTCTTGTATCACCTTATTCTTCTTCTTCTTCTCCTTTCGGCACGTCCCTATTCAGGGGTCGCCACAGCGAGTCAGTAATTTCCATCCGCCCCTGTAAACCGTCCTACCAACTCGCATGGTCGTCTTGGCAAAAGTTTTACGCCGGATGCCATTCCTGACGCAACCCTCCCCATTTCTCCGGGCTTGGGACCGGCACTGGGGAACAGTGCACCCCCAGGGGAGGGCACTGCCCCCCAGCGGCTGGGTTCTTGTATCACCTTATTATTAAAACCAATTTTTAATATGCAATCCAGTGTTGTTTTACAAAATATCACTATCAGACTGGACAAAGACCATATATATATATATATATATATATATATATATGAAAAAATTAAACAAAACACACTTGTAAAATTACTCCTTTACAGTACATATACGCTCACTGCCCAGCAATGGTTCGAATGTTCGAATCCTGGGTTTTAGTGTGACTTCAGATCTCCATTTCTTGAGATAATGCTACTTTGACTCCTGTCATATATTAAATTGTATGACCTCACGCACATCTGACGTGACAGCGTATCACACTGAGAGTCAAATGCAAGACGAGGGTGACACTGACAGGCTCGCTCGCACAGAGATCCAGGAGTTTTCTTTCTGGCGTGGCTATTTCATGAATGTATTTGCATGCACAAGGGGCAGGTGGGCTGCGGGTGGGGTGGGGGGGGGGACTGGTGGAGGACAGCAAATGCACTACTCTGCTTGCAGAAAAGGGAGGGGGAGGCACTGTGTGGATGCAAGCTGTCAGTCAGTCTTAAACCTGCTGCTCTTTCTCTCTCACCGTGACTACACGGTGAAGTAATCCCTTCCGTGATGTTTGTTTCCTTAAGCGTGTAGTTCTCTGTTGTGTGTGTGTGTGTGTGTGTGTGTGTGTGTGTGTGTGTGTGTGTGTGTGTGTGTGTGTGTGTGTGTGTGTGGCACACGTGCTTGCCATTTTCACTCTCCACTGCTGGACTTTAAACACTGTTAAAGGAAAAGAACAATCTATTTTCAAGTGGAGACCAATTTAAATTATTCACAGGCAAATCATGAGCGTCGCTCTCGAAAACTCCCCCAATCACACACACACACACACACACACACACATACCCAAACAAGGAGGCAGAGTTGGTGTTTTTGTTCTGCTGGCAGTGGAGAGACAGAGAAAAGAGGATAAAACAAGCCTCCCTCCTTCCTTGCATCCCTCGATCCCCTCCTCCCCCTCTCGCGGTAACGCTTCAGTGAGTTGAACGGCCAGGACGGGGGGAGAAAGGGATTGGGGGAGACTGGGAGAAGGAGTAAGAGAGAAAGAGAAAAGAAGCAAGGGAGAACAATGAGCAACACATTTTTTGATATAGCTGAGGGTCGCTGTGGCTAATCCTTCCCTGTCGTCACCACAAATGGTCTCTCCGTTTCTAATTCCTTTTTGACTTCTCCTTACTTCTTCTTCAGCATGCCCCCTCCCTCCTCTTTCCCCATCCTTGTCCCTATTCTCCTTTCGCTATATTTTGTGGTGCTGAATTATGGTGCCACTTTCATTTTGATGCTAATTCCAAAAAGTGATGAATCTTTCCCCCCTTTGTGCCCCTTTCTTCTCTGGCAGATGGAACGAGCCGGGATTTACTTTTGAAATTGGCCTCATAAAAAGGTGAAGGAAAAAAAGTAGTTGGACAGGAGGGGGAAGAAAGGTGAAAAGGAGAAATGTGAATCAGTATAAAAGGGAACGAACAAGACCGGGAGAAAACAGAGGAGATGATGGCAGTGGAAATGTGCAAGCTCGGGGAATTGGCAACTTGGCAGCAGAGACGATGGATGACCTACTAGGTGACCTACCTTGATGACAGAATCCCTCAATAGTTTTATTCTCGTTATGTAAGAGTCCAGAGTAAAGTTCAGAGGTCACATGAGTGCCCAGGCGTACGTGTCTTCCATACCTGCCCAGTATTTTGCTGACACATCCATGGCTGACGCGTAGCTGGCGGGAGATATCGCAGGGACGCACACCTTGGTGGGCGAGTTCTACTATTCGCTGTCGCACAACATCTGGGAGAGGTCGGCCATTTACAAACACACCCCCAAGCTGGTTGACCCCGCCATGCCCTGTAAAAAGCAGACAGTTGAAGTTTGGTCCAAGACAGATGAACGAGTGAGTCAGTTCCTAAACTTTCGAAAAGGATTTACTATTAGAGTGCTCAGAGTCAAACTCTACTGCGTCACACTGTGATGTAATTTCACTGAACCCCCACCACCACCACCACCAAACACACATATACACACACAGTTAGGGCTGAATAAATCCTCGCTTACCAACATAATACTCCCCTGACCCTTTTAGCCAGACTAAACTAAGATTTCACATAAATGAAAGGATTTCAATTAATTATTGATCCACAGGGGCTTGAGTGACGCCACCAATTTTCCCCTGAGGCAAGAGGGAATAAAGAGATAGGATGGGAACCAATTGGAATGAACAACACAACTTCTATACTTTCTAATGACATCCAGTAAAAATATAGCATTTCGAGAGATCCTGTTCTAACACTCCCTTTTGATCGAAACCTCCATCAAGGCTGAAGAATTCTGAAACTAAGTGGTGCATTTTCTAGCACGAGACTTGTTTAATTGCCTATGTTATGCGTATATTATTTTATTGTGAATTAAGTAGGCAGCCAGCGATTAGCTGGCATCCAGTTCAGGGTGTCCCACGCCTACTGCCAGAAGACGGCTGTTATAGGCTACATCCGTGATCCTTGTGAGGACAGACGATTCAAATAATGGATGGATAGATGAAGTAAACAGCGAAGCTAAGATTTCATTGCTTCGTCCACTATTAAGCATAGTTAACCAGAATGTAAGCGATAGCTCTCAGTATGATAACAATTCAACATACAACCACAATCGTCAACTTATTGTCAAATGAATACGTCAATCACTTAAACTGACAAGAAGGCACATTTAAGGTAGCTGCGCCCATTGAATTTCATTCAATTGCATGCTGACCTGTAAATACACAAATTAATTCAGAGAGGAAAAATAAGTCATATCTTCAAATCTACACTCAAAACGAAAATGTTGTCTTCGGATGGCCACGGCAACAACAGTGTGAGCAACTTAAGGCATCCAACATGAATCCAGCCTCCATGAGGGAGACGAGATATGCATCAGGGACTGGCTCAGGACACTGTCACTCCTACTCCCCCACAATATGTTCATGTACAGTATATGTTGCACCAAAAGGCAATGCATCATTTCTGTAATCCACTGCTTTTGTATTACCATAGTGATTGTGTCTTCAGGGGAAACACAAACACACACACACACACACACACACACACACACACACACACACACACACACACACACACACACACACTAATCCCAGCTGTGAGGGTAATAGATTTTAAATACATGACCCCTGCAGGGATACCTCATAAAATACAAAGCTCTTCCCTAAACCTGACCACGTCTTTCTTCTTTTCTGCATCCCCATGAAGCAAGCACACAATCACACTAAACCGCCTCCATCTCCAAAACAAATACGTCTGCACATGAGGGCTAAATGCAAAGAGAAAGTCTGGAGAGTCTTGTACTTGGAAATTAAACAAAGCTATTTCACTTTCTTCATCGCTTTATTTCTTTCTCGATAGAATGAAACTCATTATGCAGATGTACCCGCTGCCACATTTTGAAAAGCAATCACTTTTTCGAAAGATAGCAACGTATGGAGTCACATCCACCTAGGCCATACCCAGGAGTGCTCGTCTGTGTAACGGGCAGGTTAGACAATGTTGACACGTTGGAACTTCAAGTTCACTTGTAGGGGGGAAAAAGAGATGTTGCCAAATTGGGCTATCAACACAATGCAATTGTTATGGGACAATACAACGGCGTACACCTACACCTCCAGGTTGTACTTTATCCAAAATAGGTACAGCAAAGCTAAAATGAAACTAACACGTCGTAAATGCCAAAGTTGATAGTACTGTTTTTTTCTGGCCATCAGTAGTGTTGAAGGGTGGATATAATGAATTACATCGCTTTGGTATCAATGGAATAACTATCCAGGCACTTTTTTTTTAATCTGCAAGTTGAAATTATGGCCAGATCTGCGGGCCTCTATTGCTATGCATATTCCAGCAACGCAATGTCCCAAACACATTGTCGGCACACTAGAGCCTCTACTGTACAAAGTTGAATAGCCAAAGTCTCAAGATGTCAGCGTGTCTTACATTGTAAGCAACAAAACATTCACTCTGCACTTCTACACAATAAATTTGGGAAAGTACCTTTTTACTCTAACAGATTGAGTATTCACTGTTTTCAGTATTTACTGATTGTAAAGTGTCCTTGGGTGTTTTGAAAGGCGCTTATAAATAAAATGTATTATTATTATTATTATTATTATTATTATTACTCTAATAGACGATATTTGGTCCCACGTTAAACAGAGAAAAATTTAAGAGTAAAATACTCATGAGTCAATTTTACACTGAAAAAAAAATTCAGAATAGAGGGATATTGACTTGATTGTACTCAATTTAGACTGGGTCCAAATATATTCATTTTAGGCTAAAATGTACTCTGTGAAATTTACTCTGTGTGTTTTTTTTCTATCAGAAAAGGACCACGATGAGATTTAAAAAATGGGAAAAGATTAACGAGAATTTGAAAGGGCTTTATAAAACTTCAGTTCACAACACCCTGGCAGTTAATGTATAGTGTTTTAGTTTTACTGTTACTGTTACTTGTGAACAAATTGTGACGATTAAGAATGTTCTATAGCAGTGCAATATGTCATCGCAGAAGTTTGTCAATGTTTTATTGTTATTATATTTCATGAGGAGATCATTTGTTTTTATCGCTGACAAGTACACTCAGACTTTACTTACAAAGTTGCATGTAGAGTTACTAAAAGTCTTATGATTCTGACATTTTTGTCACGGGACAAATGATGTGGCGGGCCGGACATGGCCCCCCGGACCTAAAGTTGACCCTCAGTTTCAACATATTGCAAAAATGTTATTTCCCAGAATTGTTTTACAATCTCTACAAATCAAAGCTTTAATAAAAGAATGGATTGGATTGTGTTTGTGCTAAATTATAAAAAGTCATGCCCCATATCATGATTTTCATTTTCACTTCCATAGAAGCCCACTTTGCAGCAAACTGCTGTGCGCACACAAGTCTGCTGTTGCTTTTTTCTCCTCCTGCTCTCTCAGATAAGAGCAAACGAAATGATTTCTCTCACTTTTCCTATCCGGGCTGGACCACGAAAAATATTGCTAATGTCTGGTAACCAACAAAAACAACCTCCAGATAACTATTCACTTATCTATGTATTTACTGTTGGCATTAGACGATTCTTGGAGTAAAGCTCTTTGGATTATGTGTCCAAATTTTATTTCCCTATCCTATAGACACTGATAGGGAAGGTCAGAAAAACACAATAGATTGAACCTGCTATTTGGACACAATCTGTTCTGTGACATGTCAACTTCCAAATATAATAGAAATAAGAAGACAGTGAATGAATTTACAAAAGGTTGAAAATGACACATCATAAAAACTTTATGAACTGCAAGACAAGCTAGAGACTTTAATCGTTTGAATGTTTGCTGAGCTGGAAACTCGAAACAACGCCTCATGTCATCTTCCAAATGATGACATTGGAATTTTTGAAGAGTGGGTTTGAACTTCAAATGTTCAAGGTAATTTAAGAGCCATGTTTTCAAAGGAAATATTCGCATGGGAGACAGTAAGCAATATTCAAAATGACCTCAAATTTCTAAAATCAACGTCTGCATGTATACTGTCAGAAATCAGGGTCTGATATTTCTAACTGTGACAGATTTGTCCAGTAATTTCAAGCCACTGACCAAACAAATTAACCATTTGCTTTCAGGAATTCAATCACAGCTGGCAGCTGGGGAGGTTTTGTTGCAAATTAGATACAAAGATTTTTGCCAAATCGAGGCTCTTGGCTTCTAAAGGTCTTCCTCCAAAAGCTTGAACCTCAAGAGAGAGAGCAACTCTTGGCACGTGCAGCAGTTTTATTTTCTATCCTGCAAGAATCAAAGGGGACGCAGCCTGCCAGCCTGCCAGCCATGGGGACCAGGAGTCATTATGCATCCCTGTTGTATTTTCATTTATATATGCTTTATAGAAGCTGACTTGGGAGCAAAGCACCTCCCTAAATGTTTGATTGATTCACTGTTTCCGGAGGAGGAAAAAAATACAGAGATAAAAGAGAATAAATTCAAGCTCCCCCATCCAGAAAATAAAGCCCATTAAGCTCTCTGTCTCTCTTTTCCTGCAGCCACATTACTCTGTGTCACGGCCTGTAGTCTCAAAAATAAATACATAAACAACAAAAAAACTGCAACATACTAACCCTTTTTCCTACTGTCTTAAAAAAAAAAAATACAGACTGGGCAGCAGAGCTTTTTGAGAGGTTGTCAGTGAGAATACTGATTTAAGTGAATTTCGTTGCAACGCTGCGCAATGGGCACGCCAGGCAATTTTATTCTGTATGTCTATATGTTGCTTTTTCCATATTATCCATAAAGGAAAAATTATATTTAATAATTCATTGGGGCTGATTTTATATATATATATATAGTGTGTGTGCGTGTGTGTGTGCGTGTGTGTGTGTGTGTGTGTGTGTGTATTTTTTTTGTTGTATTATAATTTCACATTTATTTTTCCTTTTCTTCCGTTCACGATCTCCGGGCAGCTAACAGCCAAATGAATATTTGGGATGCCAGCATCCACCATTAACATTACAATATGAGGCTCATTATCATCACAATTACCTGGAAGAGTTCCTTTTAAAACGGACATATATTGTTCCGAGCTGCTCATAACTTACTGGATCGGTTCAATGTTTTCATATTATTGTGACGGTATCACGCCGGATGAAATTGCTGCTCAAATTGTGTTTCAAGAATAAAAGGAGATAACGTGAAGAAAATATTACCAACAGCGTACGAAAAAATGTAGACACACACACAAACACACATACACGCACACGCTCGCACACACACACTCCCAAGCGAGCATTTCCACGCGTCAAAGTTCATTTATTGCAACCTCTCTCACTCTCCCTTTTGACATTTTTAGATGTAATCGTTTTAAACCGTCCCAGAACTTCTCTGTTGCCTTCGAGCGCCGCGGATCATTGACTTTGGGCCAACTACTGCGAGAAGAAACACGATTTGTTCTAGCCTTTGGGTGTGTGTGTGTGTGTGTGTGTGTGTGTGTGTGTGTGTGTGTGTGTGTCACATAATGCGCTTCCCCCCAGGAAAATGAATGAATGCAATATCTATTAAATGCTTCGGAACACTGTTATACGCTTTGTGTGGGCTTTTAAGTGAGAAATCCAACATGATACGATTTTAAAATATGTTTGGTGTAGATTCATAACTCCAAAATGAAGTTAAGGGAGCCAGAATTTTATCAAATATGTATGGTCACGAACTCCACTGTCAAGTCCATGAGTTTAAATTATACATTTATATCTAAATTATACAGTGTTGAAACATGATGTGACTATCAAGCAAATATTTCGCATTTGTGTGTGCAATGTTTTATAACGGTTTCACTGATTTAGGCATACCTGTAAGCTTTGTTAACACGCGTATTTAATTTCTGACTACAAAACACGCATCTCTCCGTCCATGCGGTCAACCAAAATATTACAAACCGCCGAGTCCTCCACAACTGCAAGCAACCATGCAATAATATACATATACATATATATTTTTTAAATTTACATCCTTCTCTAGTCCCAATCAAAACCAAGCTCTTATTATTTCTATCATTTTTGTTATTCTTATTAATAATTGACAAAAGTGCCATTGATGTCTGAGGCCGTGGGATGTGTTTTCCTCTCGGACCCAACGACGTAGTTCTGATTCCTAGACCACATGTACTTGCACCTGCAGCGCGAAAAGTACGATTTCAGTCTGTCCATCCACGTTATACGCAAAAGCACAATGGACTTCGCTCAACCGCTCTTCCCTTCCCTCTCTCTCTCTCTCTCTCTCTCTCTCTCTCTCTCTCTCTCTCTCTCTCTCTCTCTCTCTGTTCTAACCCCAGACCGCCCACCCCCCAACAACGAGGTCTTTCCTTTGAAATGAAAGTGTGGTCAACAATTGAAACACCGTGCTTGATATTTCAATTTTTATCGAGTAAGTTCAGAGTCCCAAAAAATGTCAGTCAAAGAAAAACACCAACATCATGTTGTATCAAGATTTAAATAAAATAGAAAGAAAAAAACAAATCACCACTGCGGACGTCCTAGACACTTCAGGAAGAATAAATACAAAAATTTGGGGGGGTGTTGTTTTTTTTTTTTTTTGCAGTGCACCGAATACATAATTGGTCTCAATATGAGTGTATCTTCGAATAAAGCATCGATTTAGTTGTGGAGTGAACATGCAAAAAACAGAACATTAAAAGTTATAAACTTACTGTGCATAGCCGCAAACGGGTCGTGCTTACAGTGGATCTCCATGTGAGCTAGGGCTCCAGGGCCCCGATATATGAACAAAATAAAAGAAAAATGCGCAGTCTCGGGCCAACCTCTATTTTGATAGATCTGTCCTCCAGTTGATGCAAAGTAGTTCCTTAAAAAAAGACAGAAAGACGAAATCTATTTCTGTTTGATTCGTTCACTTGTTAGTGTCCCCAGGTGTAGTGAAATAAATGAAACATTGAGGAATGAAAAATCAGGTTTGGAAAAGGAATGAAGGAAGCGGTGTCTTCAATGGGACGGGACACCACAGTCGGTCAAAGCAGGTAAAGAACGAGATTGCCATTCATCCTTTGAAATCTTCACAGTGATCGGGCCAAATAAGGGGGAAAAACACGTAAAAAGGATTTCAAAACATTTGAAAAGAAGACATCCCCAGCCCCCACAGACTCAGTTCTCTGGTCGTGGTCCCCCTCGGGCTCAACTTTCTCCGCTCAGTCTCACAACGAAAACAAGTAAAAACAAACAAACAAACAAAAAAAGAATCAAAAAGATGTTTCATTCACTAAAAATGTCACAAATCCACAATAAGGTCTGCTTTCCATTGCTTTCTTGTGTGATGTCCCATCAGTAAAGCTTGAGATGGCAAGTGAGTGATCCCACGTCCGAGTGTCATATCCACCGAGCCCGGAAGAATAGAAGACACCGTTCAGAACCGTTCCCGGTTATTAAAGCGATTCGCTGCCCAAGTCCAACTGAGCCGTCCCGCGCGAGTTGGAAAGGAGTTGTTTTTCTTTGCTCAAAACTCAAAACATAAGAAGGAGGCGGCGGCGTTGGCGTAAATGTGCGACAATCGGTAGGCTTCCACTGAGAGAGCGGCTGCTTGCTGGTGCACCCCCGCGTTTCAGGACCTGTTCTCTTACGGACAGCGCCCGCGCTCTCAACCCCCTGGAAGCCTGACGTCCAGCCGCCGGCCAGCTGCCTGTCACTCAGCCACCTCCCAGCCAATCACAACGCGAGAAACTCTATGCGTCACTACTTGCTTTGAACTGAAAGGGCGGGGTTCTACGTGGCTCCGATTGGTTGACGCGAAAGCTAGCACCCAATGACTCTTAAAGTTTATTATAATCCCTAACCAATGGATGAACTCGACCACACCCCTTCCTACTGAAGGAATCACATACGGTTTTACGTTTAATTTCAATTAAGCGCGTAGAAACCTCACGCTTTATGGGCGTTTGCGCTCAAGTTATCCGTGTCAATATTAAATATCCAATTAAATGAGTATTACTAAAATGAGGCTTTTTTGCAGCAATGTCTTATGACGTCTGAGTACAATTCTCCAGCATTGAAAATGCATTCGACTCCTCATTACAACCATTTTTTTTGCAGTGTACATAAAATATGTCCTTCATAAACCGTGCATGTTTCTGAGAGCTGACTGAAAACAACTGACATGTTGTCAATATTACAGAAGTCCTTATAAAGCTTAAAGTTGAGGAGAATCCAAAGCATAAATCAAGTATTGCCATCCATGAGCTGTTTGTGGATTCAAACGGGCGTCGTTTTTAATGAACTGCAATTATCCAGCATCCCTCCAAACTGCGAGGAGAGAGGGAAGATTCAATAAATGTTCGTCCCACCTGATTTTCTAAGACATATCTGAGCCGCGATCGTGTAATATTAAGCACACAAATAGCCTTAAGCGTGAGCCAAATTAGAAAGTAGTTATTTCCATGTGCTTCCTGCTCCTCGATATCTAATGATTTCACTTTCTCTGCTATTCTACCTCATGAACAGACCTGCATATCCACAACTAAAGAACCATATGACGTTCCCGAAATATTATTGAAAAAAAACAAGCTACACGATAATATTTATTTTCATTAAAAAGGCATGCCAGCCTGAGGTGTCAAGGAATGAACGTGTTCTGGAATACTGTACTTCGTGTTATTCAATCAATAAACGAATAGCGCCACTTGAGAAGTGTGCTTTGAGCTAGCTTGACTTTTCACAGCCTAAGCGGTTTAAACTCAAACACACCAGCACTGCCAGTTAAAAGAAATGCCTTTTTTGATGAATGTTTAGATTTTCTTTTCAGAAAACATGTCGTTTTTTTGTGTGTGCTTCTCAAAAAAGTCACCAGGGGGCGTTCAAATGTGCATATAAACAAGCAAGTATACGTTTGCACAATGCGTACGAAAAAAACAAAATAACTTTAGCAGTTCTGAAGGTGATTATGTGTTCCGTTTGTGCAAATTGTCATTCATTAATGGAAAATATTATCATTGCATTGTATAATTGCTCTGATCATGCCCTAAAAGAACCAAATTGCACATTTTCAAATCAACAAAAAGTTGTATTACTGGCGTCAAAAAGTCACGATGAATTCACGTTTGATGCTTCTTTTGTTGACTGGATGAATTATAAAATATCTTCCGTACGTGCTAAACAATGCTTGTTCCGTAGTCTGTGTTTTTTTTTTTTTTTTTTTTAATAGGGAGTTGGGGACTGTTAAAATGAAAATTGGGCAACTTTGGCGTTTACACTTCATTTAGGCCATATATTGGGCAATAATAATAATAATAATAATAATATACGATCATTTGTTTGACATGTATTACTTCAAATTCAAAAGTTTCAATTACCCAGTTAAAAATATATATGCTTTCTGTATGTTCTCACTCTTGAATATTGCTTTTAGGTTACAACACTTTTTTTTTTAATCTGGAGTAAAAAGACAACATGGGTGCATTGAATTAATAACATTTAAAAAATATTTTTTCGTGTTTACCGGCAATTTTGTGCTCTTCTGTTTTGGACTCAGTTTGAATTACAGATTTGGAAGAAACAAAACGCTTTCTGGTCGCATGCCTCCCATTTGCAAATTAAATACATAAGCAATTAAAAACAGCCAAACACAAGCAATCATGTATACAAATTGTTGTTGCTTTAGGCTTGGAAATTTGGAGAAAACTTCCATCAGGGTGGGACGACTTTAATCCGGGGGTCCTGATACATTACCATATTTCATTAGCTTACCTCTCAGTGTTGGAAATGGGAGCGCGGAGGAGGGAAAGGGGAGATTAGACTTTTTTAAACATTAGTAAGAAGAAATGTGCTCGTGATAATCATTGGGAGGCAAATTGAGGGTCATGTTGTAGTGTCTTTCTTCCTTCCCTCCATCCATCCACCGTGAAAGACTGTTTTGCCTTTTTGCGCCCGAGCCTCGAAACGAAAAAGCAATGAAAAATTAATAGCGCATGTTAACTCCACCAAGCTCGTTTATTACACGCCCGCATGGCTGTCAACGTAATGAGAAAGCCCCTTCGTCTCAACTCTTACATTTTTTTTTTTTTGCTTATGAAATGTAGGCCTCCTGCTCAAAATAGAAATCTAAAAATTCCGAAATAAAATACATGTATATGCCGACAAATTGCGCCTATAGGCGATTCACACTTAGTCCATTTGTAATGACTTGGTTGGCTGGTAATGCTCAATAATGAGGAGTCAAGTGAGGCCTGACCACAAGCTCTCACGCACTTTGAGGGGCACTTGAGGTCATCTCTGTCGCCCCCAACCGTCCCCTCCCCCCTTTTCTACCGCAAAATCGAATTTCTATTAATTGCTGCCATTAGTAAGCGTTCATGATACTTGTCTATCGAAATAAAATCCCGTTTTAGCAGTAAATTTTGGATTTGAAAAAAACGCTATGAAGACTCTGCCGAGAAAACGTGGATGACGTCTCATTCATGAATTGCTTTTTGACCTTTCATTACATATCATACCGAGTGAACATATTTATTAGAGAGAGAGAGAGAGAGAGAGAGAGAGAGAGAGAGAGAGAGAGAGAGAGAGACAGAGAGAGAGAGAGAGACAGAGAGAGATAGAGAGAGAGAGAGAGAGAGAGAGAGAGAGAGAGAGAGAGAGAGAGAGAGATCCTTGCTTCCTTGTGCCTTCTTAAGAACGAATGGCACACTTTGACACATGGCCAGCGGCTTGGGACATCTCATTGGATTCTTTGCACCCAGATCACGTATTTCATGGAGAGGCTGCAAGCAAAGGCCGTGGGCCCTTACTACTGCACCAGTCAACAGTGAGGGCCTCCTAAAAACTATGATTTCCTCTCTGGTTATTATCCAATCACAATAAATGTATTTCCTTTAAGTTCGTCGTGGCAATAGCCCATTTTAAAAGACTGAAAAATGAGACATGATTTGTCTTGCTTATATCTCATATATCACTGTTCATTAAGTATAAAGCCTGCTAAATGTTACATATTTTCTGTGAATTTGTCCATCAACCCAAGAAAATAAATGATGAGGAACAATAATGAGGCTTAGCTCTCCACTGTCCAAAGGACGTTTTATCAATACAGAGCAGCAGGCATGGATATGAAATGATGTGCTATCCACTGGTTGCCATACAATGGTCGATTGTGCTGTTCTGGAAGCCCCGCTGTTTTATGAATAGACTCATATCGCAGATGAACTACTTGCATTATGGAAAACACACAGGAGCCAATTAAGTTATTTCAAGATGTTTAAAACTGGAGTGAAAATGGCTTTCCTAAACCAGGAGCAAAGATACTTAACCCTTAAAAATACATACAGGGATTCTCAGACTTTGTATACCAAGTAACTGTATCTGCCTCAAAAAAGTTCCACCATCAAGGCCAAAATGTAAAAAATCAGCAGTAGTGTAGTAGGCCCAAGCGTTCATCTAAAAATTCAGCCCTCCGAAAAAGTTCAAGGTTGTTATCATTTACTTTCGTCACAGATTGGCTGACAATCACATTGCCTTTTTGTAACCTCTGGCATATATTTTAAACATCTACCAAACACGTTGATTTCCTTACAAAGTGCTACACTGCCATCTGTACATCATCAGGTTTTTCCATGAAACAAGGCACAATGGAATGAACATAACGTAACCAACCCATGAATAAAATGTTCATTTAAGAAAAGGTGGAGAACCTACGGTACATGGGCCATACATGGCCCTCTAAATGATCCTACTGAAGCAAATAAAACTACGGAACTGTATAAAAAGTCCCAAAACACATAGCCCCAAAAATAGTCATTATAGCATCAATTTTTGTAAATTTAATGGTGGCCCTCTGATGACTTTGTAACATTGAAATGGTACGTGCAGAAGTCCCATTCCCCTGCTTTGAACAAGCACACCTATGGCAATAGTGAAATATAGGTCAACACAACAAGCTAGTCAACAAAAAAGATTCTTTCACTGCCACTGTCTTACAAAAAAAAGCTGCCCCCAATTTGATAAGCAGAGCGAGTTTGAAATGAGTTATATTGGAGCCTTTTAAAGTTTGAATGGCTTGCCAGAACTTTGAAATAGTTCGCACAATTTGTACAACTCGACAGCAGTTTGAAGATTTAGAAGGAAGCGACTTTAATTAAAAGCGCCCTAGAAACACGTTGCTGTCACACACACGCGCGACTTGCGTGTTTCACCTGATCCGAAAGTTAAATGCAAACAAGGCGTGAGATGGAAGTGACCCGATGCGAGCCTACCTGCTCTCCCCTGCCGCAGTTCACTACTCCTGGGCCCCTGCAGGTCCATCATGATAGAAGAGGAGAAGGGGGGAAAGGGGGGGAGATAAAAGGAAAAGAGCAAAGTTTTTCCTATTCTCTCTCTCTCTCTCTCTCTCTCTCTCTCTCTCTCTCTCTCTCTCTCTCTCTCTCTCTCTCTCGCTCTCTCTCTCTGACTTTTTGTAACTCGCTCGCTCTCTTCTGTCACTCTTGCAGCTGTGTACAGTTAGTGGGGGGGGGGGAGATGCAATGCAAGTTGAAATAATTCGACCCTTCCGCTCCTTATTGCGCTGCCTGCAAGTGTTCACTCATCTGCAACTAAACGCTTTAGGTGGAAAAAAAGGAGGGTCCTCGCGGAGGGGAAAGGGGGGTGGGCGTGAAATGA